TATTTAACATATAATATTAATTACGTTTACAATATGATGCTATTACATATTATTTTCTTTAAAATTTCAAAATTAAGGCACATCACCATGGTTAGATTGTGTGTGATCTGCGGAAACGTCGATGGTGTTGATGGAGTTTCGTTGCACAGGTTACAATAAATTTATTAACAATTCATACTAAACTTACACTAAAACTACTCATAATGTAATGGTTAAATTAGGTTTCCACCGAATGACCGCCGCAGACGTCAGTGGGTGTTGATTGTCGAGAACTGTGGTATAAATGCACAACAGATTTTGGCCAACTCAAAAGTGTGCTCGAGACATTTCGTACTAGGTCGTGATTATGAAGGAGAAAGACAAGAGCGGTGCCATCTTTAGTGAGTGTATTATGACTATTTTTATTAGGTATTCCAATGACACTGTTACAATACTACACCAAACTACACATAAACCCAACTTAGACTGTAGCAGTTGCATTAAGTTAATAATTATTATTACATAATGCCCCATATGGTGTCATTTATTTATTAACATATAATGTCATGCTTATAGACACAATGGATTAAATTACTTTACATTGAAATACCAATTGTTCAATTCATATTACTATTCAAATATGATAAAGTATTTTTTCTTATAATTTAATTGAAATAATCATAATAATACTTTTGTTCTTTTTACACTTACATTTATACACCACGTCTATGTGTATCTTAAATGTATTGTTTCATTATTATCAGTAGGGATATATTCTCTAGGCTACAATTCATTTTATTTATGTAAAATAATTACTTACATTATTACAGCTATAACTATTCAACAATTGCTGCTATTGTCCTTTATTCGGTCTGCAATGCAATTCACTATAACGTGTAGTTTAAATGTTACTAACTAATTGATTACAATATGCTCTCCACACTGTTTTTTATTTATTCAAAATGTGCTGTACTTATTACGTTCCCTATCGGTGAGCAATTTTTATATGCTTATAATAAGTCACGTGTTATTGATATGTAGTCAATCATTATAATATCACATAGGACACATATGTTGAATGCTTATAATCTTATAACATTTGAGATGCTACTATTCAACTTTATTCATTCTTTAGTGTAATTCACCATTACATGGACCTTACATTTTACTAACTAATTGATTGCACCATACTCTCTATGCACAGTTTTGAATTTATTTAATTATAAAATTGTTGTACTTATTACACTCTTAATTGGTAAGCTGATTTTTATATGCTTATTAAATCACATGTCATTGATATGCAGTTAAATATCATCATAATAATAACACATACAACACAGACGTTGAAAATATAAGCTGATAATATTTGAGATTGTTATTATGCACTCATTACAACGGACTTCCTTTGATACTGTAGGTAGTTCAACCACTCCTTGAGATTGCGACACCAGGCGGTCAACTGGAAGCAGAAGTGGCAATCCCCGGTAACAACGGGATGGAGATAGAAGTTGTCGAAGTCCAAGTGGAAGACGTAATGATGCACCTAGCTGAAGAAGAAATGCTACCAGAGGAAGTGGTACAAGATGACATTGAGTATGTGGATTTACTTTCTGCTGACGCAGAGGCAGAATTTGAATTCAGGGATGCACTTGACGTTTTACTACCAGACGTCAATGAAGAAGTTAGTAAATACATCTTATTAAAATCAAAATAAACAATTAAAACATTATATTCTTAATAACTGTGCATTTTAATTGCAGTTCGTACCGATTCCTCCTGTTGTACCGAGAGCACGTGCGCCCATGAGAGACCGTCCGGCTGGCATTCAACACGAACTTCCAGATCGGCATGACATAGGACCATTGAATATTGTCTGCCCACACTGTGGTGCCCGCCATTTCTCCGGCGAGCTTACTTCAACGGGTCATTTTTCTACGTGTTGCAATAATGGTCAAATGGCTGTTACAGGAGACCGTGTTTTGGGTCCACCACCAGAGTTATTAATTCGTTTGTTGGTTGATGATTTGCAGGTAGCAAAACACTTTCGGAAAGAAATCCGCCGGTACAACAACACTCTGGCATTTGCGGCTTTCTTCACTGATCTGAGCCCAAGACGTTTGCCTGGACAGGGACCAAGAGTATTCTTCGTTCACGGGCAAGTGTATCGTAGGATTAGTAATGATGTTGTCAGAAATGAACTAATGCAACCAAGGTATTGTGAGTTGTACTTTATTGAATCCGGGACAGCAAATCACATTCGCATGGCACAACAGCCACGTGAACGACCACTATTGGAGAACTTGCTTGCAGACTTAGACAGACTGTTGCGGCGAATCAATCCATTTGCAGTGGCTTTCGAGTAATATATATTGCTTTAAATTATTAACATATACATAATCTAGCAAAATGCGTGCATCACACTCATTAACAAACTATAGTTGTAAAATCAAATCAAAATATTACTTCAAGTTGTAGTGTATTGAACACACATTACATTAGTATAGGTATTGCACTTTTACGTATTTCTATATGATACAACGAATAACTTTGGTTAACATTGCATTGAATACATATTCGTGTAGACAGTAGTGCAACATTTTTGTTTAAAAATTTATAGTTTACATTATAATTATTACTCACTCATAAAAAAAACCTATTTAAGTTTAAACGTTAAGATTAAACTCCAACAGCTCCTTACAATTTCATATTAAGTATACTATTAATATATATATATCACATGTATATAACGATACACATATATATTGATTTTACTTTTTCTGTGTACATTTCCATTACAATGTGCATTGCACCTAAGCGACATTTTTACTTAATACTTCTATGCAAAATTGCATTTCATAGTTATCAGTATGTGTGCTTAGTAATATGTCTTTAACAGTATCTGTACATTTCAGGATTACATAAAATATACTGTGCTGTAATATTTATCAGATTGCACTTGCCTATGGATAACATATTTTATTCTTTATACTTCTACTGTACACACATGTGGATACATCATGTGGCTTTAATAATAACACAATATTATTTTCTTACAGAAACATGCGACAAGTATGGCAAAGNTTAATAATAACACAATATTATTTTCTTACAGAAACATGCGACAAGTATGGCAAAGGGAACAAGATGCTGCTGCAGCCAATCCAATGTTGCAACCGAAAAGGGTGACCATGCACATCGTCGCCGACCCGAACAATGACCCACGGCGATACAATCAACCAGCTGCTCATGTGAACGAGGTAGCAGTTGTCTTTGTTGGTGAAGATGGTCTACCACCAGGGAATCTCGATCTGGTCATCTATGACTCAAACCCAGTTGACCCAAATCACCGGATGCAAAGCATATCAGCTGGCTCACCTCATGCAGATCCAATGCTCTTTCCACGTGGAGAAATCGGCTGGCATTACAACTTGCAACAAGAGGGAGTCCGCCAGAACGCAGTGCGTGTTCGGAACTCTATCAGAGAGTTTGCTTCTTCTCGCTTGGCCATCAGATACACAGGAACCAATAGCAATGGGAATGAAGGCCATACGTTTAGTTTATTACACGCAGGTGGTTTTTTGTTACAGCCGTACATATGTGATCAGTACGTTCGCGTGGAAGCGAACAATCTACGTTACATCCGAGACAACCAGAAAGCACTCTTTGCTGACGCCTATCAAGGCCTTCTGGACCATATTAACCAACAGCTCCGCCTGGACGAAATCGATCCGGTCGGCCGCAGGACAATTCTGCCTTCGACGTTTCTAGGTGGTCCTAGGTACATGAAACAATGTTACCACGACGCAATGTCCCTTGTGCGTAAGTACGGAAAGCCGGACTTATTCATAACATTTACGTGTAACCCTAGGTGGCCAGAGATAGTAAATAACATTCTGTGTTGGTTGAAGGCAACCGACAGGCCTGATTTGGTTGCAAGGGTGTTTCACGCAAAACTGAAGGAGCTAATGCGTGACATCACGGTTTACAAACAAACACGTTCACCGCCCAAGACCTTTTTGAAAATCTTAGGACAAACCCAAACCTAATATGGTTCATTTCTAGTTCTAAGTACTTATACATTTATAGTTTTGACCTTGAAAATTCGTTTTTACCATTACTTCCTTTTTTTTAAGGCATGTCACATATTTGTGACATGGGTTTATATGAACAATTTTTATTACACAAAACCCAATGTCACACATAGTTGACATTGGATATTTTATTCTTTTCATGTTCAAAAGTGTTAATATACCAAGTTAATATTTATTTATATTAATTAGAATAATATAAATAAGATACATCAGGATTAGAAAAATAAACAAATTGTTATAAAATTTAAAAAATAATAATAAAGTCAACATATTATAAAAATTAAAAATCAACCCGTTATATAAAACAAGTACAATTCAAATAAAAAACAAAATTTAAAAAAAAATCAACCCGATAGATTAAATAAACAAATCATTATAAAATAATAATAATAAAGCAACATATTATAAAAATTAAAAATCAACCCGTTATATAAAATAAGTACAATTCAAATAAAAACAAGTACAATTCAAATAAAAAACAAAATTAAAAAAAAATCTATAACTGTTCCTTTTCCCTTGTAAATTATAAAATTCAATAAAAAACTATCAGACGAACAAAGTTCATAAAATTGTATGCCATATTTATGGGGCTTTGTTAGGTATGTATTGTCGAAAGCTTAGCCTTCCTCTCCATAACATCATAGATTCGTCCAAAGACAAATTTTGTTTCGGATAATATTTCGTTTGGACATTATTTATGATATGTTTTGTTACATTATATATTTCATGTAGACGGTCAGATATGTCCGCTGATCTAGAGTCGTAAAAGCATAAAAATCTTAAAATGAGTTCGTAACGATGACGACTAATTGTTTTTCTGAAAATAGGGTGAAAATCTAGTTCAAACTTAGATCAATATGTACTATGAGACGGAAATTTCAAGTATCCCATTACGATACTGAGACCAATAAATTTTTTTAGTTCGTCAACATCAATATCATGCCACCTATTAAGATTTGAATATCGGCTATGTCCTTTATTAATCACACTGTTTGCTCTTAAATTTATCCACGTAACAATATTTTTAAATAGTTCGTCGTCAAAAAATAGATTAAAATAACTGAAAGGTTCGGAATTTGGTACATTACACCTTAAGCCAGGACTCCCGGTAAAATCAACAAATTCGGGTTCGGTATTTATATCAAAATTCCATTCTGAATTTTCTAAATCAATACCATTTTCCACAGAATTACCGTCAGAGTGCTCACTTTCAGATTCATTACCTGGTGGCAGATACTCATCAGAACTACTGTAATCATCCTTGTTAATGTCTGAATCAAAACTGTAATTCAATATTTCATTGATTTGTTCAGGATCCATGTTTTGACGTTTTTTTACTCGCAAACGATAATATAAAGTTATTAGACAAATATAGTATCACCTTGATAACGATTTTCACGTGTTACCGAACAGTGATACCAAGTGAAAAAATAAATATAATAAGCAATGTAGAAAGAAAAAGATTATAAGATTAATTTCGATTATCTCGCTATCAGACACAGTAGTCTGTAGTCCGTGGTACTGGACTGTTGTGTTGTTCGTTTTAGTGTCCGTTATCGTGGTGCCTTTTGTACTATCATTAATTTTCAACGCTAATTATGTTGGCTTCTTCGCCGTCTGTTAGTAATGATGATAAATTTAATAAACTTATTGATATGTTCAACGATTTAAAAAGCTCGCAGAATAAAATCATAGTATCAATTAATTCATGCCGTGAGTCTATTAAGTCACAAGATAAAAAACTGTCCTCATTTGATTCAAAGTTTGACTTATTTTCCAATCAAATTACTTCGGTAATGGAAGAAAATAAGTCATTGAAATCTAGAATTGAGCAACTTGAATCTAAGCTATCATCCGTCGAACAATCTCAAAGCAATACCCACTCTACCGATCAAGAAAAATTATTCTCAGAATTTATGGACCGTCAATCCAGATCTCGTAACATTATATTGTTTAACTTGCCAGATCTCTCAACATCTAATGTTGTCCATAACAACGACGTTTCACTTATTGACGAGATGTTTAATATTATCGGCATATCTACCAAACCTCTGTCTGTTCATCGTTTGGGTAAGCCTTCGAATAAGCCTCGTCCTATTCGGATTGTTATGCCGTCACCGTCTGATGTTTTTCAAATTTTAAAAGTTAAACGGCAACTTTTAAATGTTGATAAATTTAAAACTGTTCGGATTTCATCTGACCAAACATTACAACAGCGTAAGTTATACTCCTTGGTTGCCTCTGAACTTAAAACACGCAAAGATGCTGGTGAAACCGACATATTTATTAAGTTCGTCAATAATTTCCCGACCATTTCAAAAAACGGTCAGCGAGCCCAACATTAGTTAATAAAATTTCCATCTACTATCAGAACATTCGAGGTATTAATACTAAATTGGATATGTTTACTCGTAATGTCTCTCTATGCAATTATGATATTATTATAATTACTGAAACCTGGTTATCTGACAATGTAATCAACGCGGAACTTGGACTTTGTCACCGTTACACTATTTTTCGATGTGATCGTTGCAGTACTCGTGATGTTATTACAAGAGGTGGTGGAGTGCTGATTGCAGTTAAGAACCTGTTCTCGTGCCGTCGTCTTCCTATCTTGGACAACTCAGTTGAGCAATTATTTATACAAATTAGTGAAAAATCTTTATCTTTATTTATAGGTGCTGTTTATATCCCCCCTTCTTCTGATATTAATGTTTACGACATACACTTTAATGCTATTGATGTTTTGTTAAATAATAACTGTCATTCGAAATTTTTAATTTTTGGTGATTATAATCTACCAAATATTAGTTGGCAATCTGTAAATGGTTCAATTGTCGCTTCAGGTGTTCGTGCCGGTTCTCTCGAATCTAATGTGTTAGCGCATTTGTCTTATCTAAATTTAATGCAATTTAATTTAATATATAATCGCTCCGGATCGTTACTTGATCTTATTTTTTCTAACTTGTTTGATATTAATGTAATTAACGAGAATCACACGTTATTACCATTAGATTCTATGTACCATCCGGCACTATCAGTTGATTTACCTATTTTACCATTTAAGTACTTAGAATATAATGAACAAATGTACGATTTTGTCAACTGTGATTATAATAGTATTAGATCTAATCTTGCTTCGTTGGACTGGAATGGCATATTCAATGGTCTAGATATTAATGATACAGTAAATATATTTTATGAAAACGTTTTTAAAATAATTAATGCCTATTGCCCGGTTAAAACTGTATATTTAAAAAAGCACCCTCACTGGTTCAGTAGTTCTTTAAAGAAATTAATTTTTGATAAAAAAATTGCTCATAAAACATATAAACAATCACCTAATTCATATAATTACAACAAATTTTCTAATTTACGTGCATGCTGTAAGGCTCAAAATAAAATTGATTATAATATTTTTATACAAAAAACTCAAAATTCTATTACTAGTAATCCTAAGTTATTTTGGAAATATGTTAATAGCAAACGTTCTACTCTTTCACTCCCAAACTCTATGTATTACAATAATGAAAATATTTCCGGTGGTAATGACATTACTAATTGCTTTGCTCAACATTTTTCCAGTGTCTTAAATATGCCGTCAGTTACAGAAAGTATTGTTGATTATTACAATACAAGTATTCCTTCTGTTGATTTAAATTCATGCACTCTGGTTATTAGCGATGTTTATAATGAGCTCAATGAAATCAATTATAGTACTTGTTCTGGTCCAGATAATATTTCTAACACATTTTTTATGCAATGTAAATTTGTTTTATCAACTCCCTTATTGATGATATTCAATCGGTCTCTTGCTATTGGAGTCTTTCCGGACCAATGGAAAATATCATATGTCTCTTCGGTTTATAAAAGTGGAGATATTAACCATGTAATTAACTATAGACCTGTCTCCATTATATCAATTATTCCTAAGATATTCGAGGGTATCGTATACAAGAAGATTAGTCCGCTCTTTAAAAATTTTATTATAAACGAGCAGCATGGTTTTATGTCAAGTAGATCCACTACTACTAATCTCTTGGTTTTGCAACATTTTATTTTAAATGCATTTAAATCAAATTGCCAAGTCGATGTAATATACACCGATTTTGCTAAGGCCTTTGACCAGATAGATCATAGTATTCTCATCAAAAAATTATTCCAATCCGGTCTCCGCAATCCATTCTATTATTGGCTAGTCTCTTTCCTATCTGGCCGTAAGCAGTACGTGAAATTTAAAAATTATAATTCTTATATTTACAATGTCACCTCTGGGGTTCCTCAGGGATCTCATTTGGCTCCTCTTCTTTTTAATATTTATATTAATGATATTAGTAATATCAACTCAAATATACTGCTATTTGCTGATGACGCTAAACTCTTCCGTATTATAAAAACTCCACTAGATTCTAAACTGCTTCAATATGATCTTGATAACATAAGCAATTGGTGTGACAATAATAAATTATACTTGAATGTTTCAAAATGTAAAATTATAACTTTCACTAGAAAGCGTGTGTCTATATTAAACAAATACTTTTTAAATGGTATTGAACTTGAACGAGTTAATCTAGTTAAAGATTTAGGTGTATATCTTGACTCCTCTCTTTCATTCAATGATCACCATGTCCATATTCAGAATAGAGCGTCATCAATGTTAGGCTTTATAATGCGTAGTTGTAATCATTTTGATAATCCTTTAGCACTAAAATCACTTTACTGCGCTTTAGTTAGATCAATTTTTGATTATAATTCAATAATTTGGTCTCCATACACACTAGGTCCAATTTATTCTATTGAGGCGATTCAAAATCGTTTCTTGAGACTTATATCCATCAAGTGTAATATTAAACGTTTGCCTCACACTTCATATGAACCATTGTTACTATATCTAAACATTGATACTCTTCAAAACAGAAGGATTAAAAACGATATTAGCTTTATATTTAAACTATTAAATGGATATATTTACTGTCCTGATCTTTTGTCAAATATATCATTTCTAGTTCCTGGTCATTCAACTAGACAGACAGACACCTTTTATGTGCCATTCCAGCGCACTTTATATGGTAAGAACGCCCCCTTAATTAGATGTATGCAACATGTCAATAATTTTAATGTCGATCTTTTTATTTGTTGTTCTGTGAGTTCATTTAATTTATATCTTAGAAATTTATTCACTTAAAATATTTTGTACCTCCACAACAATCATTATATATATATTTTATACTATTTTATATTCCACAATAACCATTATGTACATACCATTTTATGTTCCACATACTATTGTAATTGGGCTCGCCCGTTAAAAAATTAATAAATAAAAAAAAAAAAAAATTTATATTTCAGTGTACTGATCTTTAGTAATTAATGCTCGTGGAGTGGTGTGACGCGGTGTTTGGCTTCAGCCATAAACGAGTTCTGAGTGCCAGCACCTACCGGTGACACTGGTTACCGGATGGGTGACCACACGGGTTCTTAGTGACAAATTCTAGCCATACATACACGTGTTCTGAATCAATCGTATCCCACCTCCCCCAAAGAAAAAACTGGCTAATAATCCTACAGTTGATGTCATAAATTNTATTATTATTATCATCGTTATGAGTACATCTTAATTCTTTATTATATGATTTTTTTTTACATACTTATTGAGTTACTATTAATGTTGGTAAAATTATTTAAATATTTTTGTTTGCTCAAAATAAAAATCGTGTTGTTTTTCCTCAAATATAAAAAGGTAAAAAGTCCGCAATCGTGTTGTTTTTTCTCAAATATAAAAAGGTAAAAAGTCCGTAATCGTGTTATGTTTTTTTCAGGTAAAAAGGTAAAAAGTCCGCAATCGTGTTGCACCGTCGGTTGTCGGGGCCTTTGTGCAATAGTACCAGTCTGGATTCCTTCCATCGGGAAGGGAAGGTGGTGTTGGCCAAGCAGTTGTTGTAGACGCTGAGTAGGATGTTAGGCTTCCGGAGGAACACCTTGGCTAGAACCTCGTTGGGGATACCATCGGGGCCGGTTGCCTTACCGGGTGGAAGTCTTTTGCAGGCTTGGGCCAGTTCGGCCAGGGTGAAGTCTTCTACGGTTTCATCTTCTGCGGTTTCTGGTGGGTGGGGCTCGAGTGCCCAGTCCGTCGCTGGGGGGTTCGGGAAGAGGTGGTCGGCGATCTCCGACTCCATGCCGCGGGTTTCAATTCCTGTACGTCGACGACCGATGCGTTTGGTGACGACTTTGTAGGGAAGACCCCACGGGTCGGAGTCAACGGATCTGCATAGGTCGGACCAGCATTTAGCCTGGGAGGATCTTATTGCCTGCCGCAATATCTTTCTCTTGACCTTATATGCGGTTCGGTGAACATCCAGTTGTTCGTGTGGCTCTCGCCTTCTAGCTGCCCTGTGGTAGCTCCTACGCAGTCTACCGTATTCGTCGCGTAGCGTGGCAATTTCTTGGTTCCACCAGTGGGCTTGCCTTCTGCCGTGGGGCGGTGGTGCCCTGGGCGGCATGCATGCGTCGCAAGCAGATGTCAAGTATGAAATGTACTGGTCAGCAGCTTGGTCAGTGGGCGTCTTTTCATCAGTAGCGGGCAGAGGTGCTGTTGCCAGATGAGAAGTTAGTGCGTCTAAATTGAGCTGTCTGTAGGCTCATCCCCTGAGGCGTTCCGGGGGGTCGTCCTGATCAGGAGTCCGTTGAAACCGTTCTAGCCGGAACTGGATGTATCTGTGATCACTCGCCGATTCGACTTCGTCCATCACTATCCAATGGGTGAGGGCTAGGCAAGGTTGGCAGCGGTGGAACGTGACGTCGATCACCGACTCAGCGTTTATTCTGCTGTACGTAGGCTTGGTACCAACGTTGCCGACCAACAGGTCCAAACTAGCAGCTAGGTCAGCTAATTGGTCGCCTCTAGCATCATTCCGCGCTGAGCCCCACTCCTGCGACCAGGCATTAAAATCGCCTCCGATGATAACCGAGCAGTGCAAGTCTACCGAGCGAACAGACTGCTCGACGTCTCCCAGGAAGTTGGCGAAGTTGGCATTCGTGTCGTTCATGTAGCAGCTGTATATCCTAATGCCCCGTGACTGGATCCAGGCGAAGCCGCGACCCGCCCCGATCGAGTCAGGTACAAAGTCAGCGGTGGCCGTGAGAGCAACTGCACAAGTTCCGTCGGTTCTGGCTACCCATCGGTCGTCATGAGTCGGGTTCCAGTTCTGTTAAGATACTATGAGAATTTGGGCGCCAGTGGCAGCGGAAGTCTGTTGGAGCAAGCTCTGTGGTATGGAACTCCGTTGAAGATTGATCTGTAGGCAGCGAATCATTGCAGCGTGCTTTATCCATCTCCGCTGCCTACCTGCCGAGACTGGGCTTGTGGGTTGCGCCCGGTTGGCTTCTTGATTGCCTCCCTCCTGGCTTTGCACATACCTGAGCCTGGCTTATGCTCGTACACGCTACGCATAAGTCTTTGTCTGCCGGGAATTGTTTTAGCTCGTGCCCTGGATCTCCACAGCGTTTGCAGTTGGACGATAGGTCAGGCCCGGAGCAATTACCACTTTGGTGTCCAAATCCGTGGCATCGGAAGCACTTTTCTGGTTCAGGCCACCTAGAGCGAACGCGGCACATTGTCCATCCAATTGGTACTCGGCTTATACTAGAGGCGGCGGCTCTAGTCATTCTGGCAGTAGCAATCTGCTGGCCAGACCTAGTGGGCCAAAGACCAGTGATCTGCATAGCCTGCCGTTCACGGATGGCTGCTTGGTCATCATCAGATCCTGGTATTGCCGCCCGCAATGCTGACAGGACCTCATCCTTGGTTGCCACTGCATCGAGGTCAACAATCTCGACTACAGCATACTGGCTAAGCTGCGATACTCCTCCGACAGCGTCACCCAGCCTAGTAGCAATGGCCGACGACAACTTCTGTGCTGCTACTGCAGATCCAGCACCTTTGTCTAGCTCGACTAGCAGATGACCATCCCTGGTTTTTCTCAAGGGGAATCTCTTCTTGTTCATTTGGTGCAGCATATGTTGGCTTACATGACGGTGTTGCTATTGTATCGGGTATCAACAATTAGTATTCTTACCATTAAGAGTTCATTTAATATCTCAACTATCTGATCTTAGAGGTGGACACATTTCTATGAACAAAAATAAATTACTATCAATTATAACCGCAGATTACCTTTAATGTATTGTTATGGTTTTTACGCACAACACCAAATAAACGTACGCACCAATTTAATATTAAAATAATGAATGTATTTTATTAAATTGTTAGTAAAAAACGATTTAAGTATAGCTGTATATTGTGAAACAAACACTGGTTATATTACGACTAATTGTAAAATAAATGTAAAATGCTCTTGTTAAACATACGTTATGTATAATGCTCGGTTCTAACTACGACTGACTGACCCCCTGTGTGTTGTCGAGACGGTGCCCCGTGTCACATCAAAAACCCTTATTCAGCGGTTCCCACGGTAGCAGCGTCGTACGACACACACTCTGCATTTTGATTATAAAGAAATACTTCTATATGTTTATTAACATATAGATGTATCGAAATAAACTGTATAATAGCCATGGGTTCTTAACAGTATAAATTAATAAGTAATTTTACAACGTTCAAACGCCGCCCGATCCGCGATACGGGTTCAGCGATAACGACGGCGACGACAGCTCGCCGACTGACCTTTGGCCGGCCGCTCACCGATACGAAAGAGTAATAATGTGATAAGCGTTGCTCTTACCTTAATCCGTATTCGTACAATCCTAACTTAAAACTGCCCTTATGGGGGAGATTTTTATAGGGCCGACTCGAAACCGACACCGGTCCCTTTGCGCACTTTTTGGCACTTTTCAGTACAAATATCATAAAAAACTGTTAACAATTGCCAGCTGGAAGCGCCTTGATATCAGGACGGTGCTTACACGCATACTACTGCTACGACAGCCACCGCTGAACTATAACCTACCTACCAATCTAGATATAAATGACCTAACCTACCTAGAGATAAATGTTGGCTGTTGCCTGTTAGTTCGTAATCGATTGTGAAATGAGCATAATACTCGTGTGAAATAATAATATAATAATATAATACTTGTGCAAAAGTCATACATTTTCTTTGTCATATTTTATACAAATATATACAATATGTCAGTCAGTAAAAAACGTAAAATCTCGGATGAGTCGTGTTTTTTAAGAAAAATGGTCCAATAACTATTTTTTTATTCAAGTTAAAGAAAAGGCAATATGTTTGATTTGTCAAGAATCGATTGCAGTGATGAAAGAGTACAATTTAAAACGGCATTATGGTACCAAACACGCAGCAAAATATGATATGATACAAGGACAACTTCGAATTGACAAACTTGCATTGTTAATGAAAAATATACAAGGTCAGCCTTCCGGTTTAAAAAAATATCATAAGACTCAGAAGCCAGTGTCAAAGCTAGTTATATAATAGCACAAAAAATTGAAGCTAAATCGAAGCCGTTCACTGATGGTGAATTTATAAAAGAGTGCATGGAGGCGGCCTCTGAAATTTTATGTCCAGCACAAAAACAAATTTTTTCCAAATTAAGTTTACCAGGTGTAACTGTAGCAAGGCGTATAGAAGAACTAGGAACTGATATTGAGAGCACCCTAAAAGAGCGAATTTCTAAATTTATTTTTTATTCGCTGGCCCTTGACGAAAGTACAGATTTGTCAGATACTGCTCAATTAGCAATTTTTGTTCGGGGTATCGATTCTAATTTTAATATCACAGAAGAATTAGCCGCGCTTTTTCTAATGAAAGGCACAACAAAAAGTTGTGATATTTTTAATGCGTTAATATCGACACTTAACCGTTTTGACATCAAATTAAATAACCTTTCTGGAGTTATAACAGATGGAGCCCCATCAATGGTTGGAAAAAATGAAGGGCTCGTAGCGCTAATTAAAAAAGAAATGAGTACATGTGGTGCTTTACAACTGATGCAATATCACTGCATTATCCACCAAGAAAATTTATGTGCAAAATCTGTCGGTTTTCAAACCATTATGAAAGATGTTGTAAAAATAGTAAATTTTATCAGATCAAGAACATTCAATCATAGAGAATTTAAAAACTTTCTAAGTGAAATAGACGCTGAACAAGGTGATGTAATCTATTTTACAGATGTTCGTTGGCTCAGTAGAGGAAAAGTCTTGAAAAGTGTTTTTGATTAAAAAAAAAGAAATTTTTGAATTTGCTGCAAGTAAAGGAAAAAAATTTGTACAACTTAATGATACAGAATGGAAAAATGATTTTGCCTATCTCACGGATATTACATTGTACTTGAATGAGTTGAATTTACGCTTGCAACGTCAAAACCAATTAATTCATAATTTATTCGACCATACTAAAGCTTTCGAAAATAAACTTATGCTGTGGGAAATCCAGCTAAAAAAAATAACACAACTCACTTCCCATGTATGTCAAAATACAATGTTACTTCAACGGAAAAATATGCAGAAGCAATTTCTGATTTAAAACACCAGTTCAAGTTGAGGTTCTCAGATTTCAAAGCTAATGAAACATATTTTAATTTGTTTTCAATTCCATTTTCATTATCAGTTGAAGATGTCCCAGAAAACATGCAAATGGAGATCATTGATTTACAAAACAATAAAGTATTAAAAGAAAAGTACAATAATGTTGAACTTTCAATTTTTTAGTCAAAATATATTAACACAGAGACATATCCTAATCTTCGAAACAACTCATTAAGAATGATGTCTCTTTTTGGCAGTACATTCACTTGTGAACATATTTTTTCACGAATGAAAATTGTCAAATCGAAAACTAGAGCTCAGTTAACTGACAGTCACTTGGAAAGTTCACTCAGAATTGCCTCGTCACAGATCCAACCAAATATAAACAAATTAGTGAAAAATAGTGTCAGTTATCACACTAAAAATAAAATTAAAAGTTTGTAATTAACAAAGAATGTTTATCTATATATGTTTTAATAATAATAATAATAATAATAATTTGTAATTTAAAATGTAATCATGAAAATTTTAATAATAAAACTGAATTTTTGTATAAAATACATGTTTTTACAACGAATGCGGCCCGCAAGATTATTAAAAAATAATACGTGGCCCGCTGCATAAAAAGGTTGAAGACCCCTGATATACAGTATTGATGTGATTTAAGACAAAAAATATTTTAAAACATTGACTTTCATACAAATACTACAATATTCAACTTTAATAATATTGATTAATAACCAAATGTTTTGATCAGTTAGTATGTTATTCCACATTGTAGCCATCGAATAATCGAATTAGGATCTACTACGAATGTTAACGAACCATCTACGCGACACATGAGACGGTTGAGTAAACAATCGTAACATGGAACTAAATAAGTCACTGGAACTATGCCATCTGTACGCTAGGTTCATTGTATTCGTAGTAGATCATCTCTACAGATCGTGATTCTTAATAAGAATTTTACGAATATACAATCTAATATAAAAACAAACTAGGTTACATTATTAAATTTCAATTTACAAAAGTTGAATATATATATTATATTCGTGTTTGTATGTCTTCACTCATTCAGTGGTTAAATAGATAACTTTGTATTTATAAATAAAAATATATAATTGTGTGCTAAATATTATACGTAGGTACTTTATAATTGTATTAAATATGATAGTCTTTTTACAACCAAACCCCTTGCGATCTTCCATTCGTTATATTATAATTTTGTGTTAAAGTTATGATTCTTTAAAATACTACATCCTTTATCTAAATTAAAATAAAGTTCTCCAAGATTTTCGATATCGAGTTCCATCAGATTTGGTATTATAGGTTTTGATTAAATGTGATGTTATACCGTTTAGCTAATTGGATAAACATGTATTTTGAATATGAGAATAAAAAAATAATTGAAGTTGTATGATATTAATGTATTTTTTATTTTATTTTTTATATGTTTTTTTTTTTTTTTAACGTATTCACTTTCACACAATTAATCATAAAATATATAATTATTCTGTTAAGCAATAGTGACCGTATGCAATAGTATTAATACCATCACGCATAATAATCCTTTTATCATCATTAGCACTAAGAGCAATTTTATCCACAGATTTAGAATAAACAATATGGTTTTTTGATTGTATAAAATTCATAGTTTTACATAATTTTTTACTAGAACTAGAGGAATTGTTGGTATAAGCATTTAATATGTCTAAATATTCGTTAAATTTCATGTGTTTATCAATTACATACTTTTTTACACCCTTAGCTTTTTTTACTTCTTTTGTATTTGTTTTGTATGCATATAGTTTAGGACGTAAAGTAATAAATTCTAATAAAATTTCAGATTTTAATTCATCTTTAAAATATCCTGGTTGATTTTTTCTAAGATTACTATAACAATAGTGATTTTTCGGATAATTTGATGTATCAAAGTAAGAAAATAATTTATTTTTTATATCATCGAAAAAGTTATAAGTTCTAATTTCATAAACTAGTGAATCAGTATCTGAATATACAATGTCGATTTTATTTCCATACATGTTTTTCATTATATTATAATGGAAATCATAAATTATCGTTTTTGAAATATCTAATATAGCAAAACCAACATAAATAGGTTTATCAAATTTAATTTTTTCTTTATTCATATGAATTGCCATTAATTTTTTTGAGTATATAGTTCTATCTTTAAATGTTACTTTGTTCATTAATCGATGGGCTTTTTTTTCGTCACATACTAGAGACATTAACATCCGTTTTCTTACATTTTCTAGACATTTTCCATACACACTGTTAATTAATAACTTCCAAAATTGACGTTCAAACTCATTTCGCGACTTAACTCTCATATCTGTACATAATTCTATATATGGTGCCATCCATTTAGATTGTGAAAAACGAAGAATCCTATGAACTTTTTTAACTTTTAATCCATTGGCAATGGCTTGTTTTAAATTTCTATAATGAACTACGTAGTTAAATTTCGATTCTAATGTTGTTATTAGTTTTTTTACTTTGGAATTTGGTGGACATTTATTTTCAGGTAAAAATGGGAAATCGTTATGGTTATCGTGTAATTGTTTTGGATAAATAACATCTACTTCTAAAATATAACCATAAGGAGCATCATCATCAATTTGTGTTATATCTATTGATAAATCATTAAACCATTCAAAATTTTTATGAGGTAAAGCAGATAGCATAGACTTTCCATATAAATTTACACAATCTAGGTAAGCTAACCACGTTATAGGTTTATTTGGTTCATAATTAATATTTTCGATATTAGGAATGTTTGCTTTTACATATCTTTTGACTGAATGACAAATTCCACCACGTATTCCATTCTCTAGAAAAAGTTGAATATCATATTGCTTAAGTCGTTCTAGTTTAACATTAGTATGTTTTAACATACAATCAAATGCAAATCCTGGAGCTGTCATAAAATGTGAAGCATCTAGTTTGAGTGTTTGCAAACATATATCTCTAAAATTTTCAAAAACGTCAGCAAGTATACATACATCAGTTGCTAAATATAAATCGCTATACTGTCCTAATGTTTTTAAATTAAATGTTTTCCAAATCTCATGTGCGTGCGCATAATCTTCATCACTAATTTCTTCGTCTTTTAACGAATTATAAAAAGATTGTTTTGATGGTAAACAAGTTTCATTCAATTTATTAGGATTGTCAATATATTCATAAGGAAACACACCTTTACGTGTAACTAAATTTAAAGTGGGCAAAGGAAATATTTTTAAGGTTTCCCTAAATCTAGTTTTGTCTTCAGATAAATTATCAGCTAAGGAACAAAGAGACTCTGACATAAAACGAAATGTGTCTATAAATTTAATGCTAAATTTATCTTCAATTTTTTTACTAAACGATATATATTTTTCTGATGAATTAGGTATTACGTAAATATCATTTGAATTACAAGAAAGTTCGCGAACAATGAAATGACTGTCATAGGACAAGTTATGAAAGTATATTGGTACGAACGAAACATTACGTAACTCAAAATTACAATTTAAACAAACAACTGATCTAAAACGTCCTGTAAAATGATTATGATCTCTTACTTTGACTAAATTATTTTTTTTAAATGACTTGAGACAGCATTCACATATTTTAACATTTTGAAATTTATTCTCTTCATCAGTAGTTAATTTATCCATAGGTATATTTATTTGATAAAGATTATAAACTTTTGTGCCTATATCTATCATTGTTTTTATGAAATGTTTTGCTGCATTATGATTTCTGTACACATGAAGTTTCGTAGGAATTTTATATTTTATTATTAAATGTTTAGGTATAATGTTATAATCTATTTTCACGTAAAATGCATAGCTCATTGGTTTATGTTTATGAGTTATCACTGTTTTAGTTTTAATGTCTTGATTGATTAATGAGGGTTTTAAATAGCATTCGAAATCGGAATAAATTACTATAGGTATTCGTTGAGTTCTTTTAAAATTTTTAAAATATATAAAGTCGTCATCACCGTGTTCAAACATTACAGGTCTTCCTAATTTATGTTTCCCACAAATTTTTTTATGTTTTTTTAATCCATGATCACCCCATAGCTTATATTTACAAGGGGTTTTACTAAAAGTTGTAAAACATCTTTTACATATAATTAATTTAGATTTATGTTTTGTCTTTTGACTACGAATAAGTCTACAAAAATTATTGATAAAACAATAATGTGATTTTTCCCCATTCTTAACCAAAAGCAGATCGAAATGGTTTTTACTTTCCTCATTATTCATATATAATGGGAAAACAGTATTTTTATTATCTAAACTAAAAACATTAACCGTTACATTATTTATACGTTCAAATGTTTTAATTTGATTAACAGGTGTCGGGAAATCGAGACAGTGAAAATTTAAACCACTTTTTTTTTCAAGAAATTTAAAATATTGATTACTAAATTTAGTTTTATCTGCACGATTATTATATTTAGTTAAAATTGCATATTTAAAACATTTTTCATCATTGTTTTTTACGTTTATAACAGCTTTCTTATTTCGTATACTATCAGGTAAAGTTAAATAAGTAGACCCGGTTAACGGGTTTACAATGTTAATCCTTAATTGTAACGCATCAATTGAATATAAACTCCACCCGCTTTGTTTCGTAACAAAATTACTTTCCTCCTTGTTAATTTTATTAAACATTTTTTTTAATATATTTTCAAAATTGGAATTTGTATATGCTAAAATATTTTCTGTTTTAAATGAAATATCTCGGTGTTCCTGTGTTAGTACACGTACGTAATCACAGTCGAGATACAAATTAAATTTAATTGTTGATTGCTGGGTAAATTTTTTTAATTTACAAACTAACATTTCAAAACTATAGTCGATAAATTGATTAAAGTCTATAAAGTTATAATCATTTTTTAAAACAAACGTTTTAGAACATTTTTTAAAACGATCTATCTGAACAAGACCGCTTCCAATTACGTTCATGCGTGTTCTTTTGGTTATTATTGTCTGCATTTTACTGTAATTAAAATAAGTAATAACTAAATTATTATTATACGAATAACGTATTATGTATGCATTTATGTTTCACAATATATGTATATATATATATAATAACCGATAGCTTATAAGGATTTTTGATTAATCAAAATTAAATGATTATTACAAATTATAATATGATTAGTAACCTAATGATATATAATATTAAGTTATTTTTTATTTTAGACTGAAACTAATTACGAACTATTAGCAATAAAGATAAGACAATATTATTTTATTATTTTACTTAATATTTTCTGATAATTGTGTTTAATTCATATATAAAAACTATAAATTTATTACAAAATATTTTTGTATATAAACCAGATCAACTTCAAGTTATACTGAATGAACTAAATTTAGCAGTGGAAACAAAAACTTCAAACTTTACTAAAAACTATTTAAAAAACTATCTTAATTTTAATAATCAAAATGCAATTATTTTACTATGGAATGGTAGTTCCGATAAAAATATTTTATTAAGATTAGGTTTTAATACAAATATAATGTTTAATACGACTGCGTACGATATTGATAATAATATAATATTTTATTTAAAGCTACTTAATTTTCAAAGTAATGAAATTATTTTAACCCATAAATTAGGTTATATTATAAAAAATGGTATATTTTTATCGTTGAAAGAAACTCATGATACGATATGTGATCAAAACCATGATATAACTTATATACACGACGCAGTTAATGAATAATGATGTAAAATTAACGAAATGTATTTTCAATTATGTATGTATTAAACACAATTATCAGAAAATATTAAGTAAAATAATAAAATAATATTGTCTTATCTTTATTGCTATTAGTTCGTAATTAGTTTCAGTCTAAAATAAAAAATAACTTAATATTATATATCATTAGGTTACTAATACAATTATTGTATTCTTCCGTCAGGTGATATTATTAAAGGTTGACCTCGCATGCGTATAATTTTAGATTTTATGTGAGTCTGTGATATAGCTGCAGAAATAAGTATTAAATCGGTACGTTGATAGTTGGTGAATTCAAAATCGATTATAATTATTGTATTTCTCGTTTTTCCCCTGCAAATTTACATCATTTAATTACAACATTAGTATTACTTCGATATATTTAATTTAGTATATTAAATCATCTGATTTATATTTCACTGAAATTTGATAATTTAAAGAACATATTTATTTATAATCAATTGCATTTTTATTTTATACATAACTTACATATTGTGGTATAACCACTTGATTACTGCACGAATCACCGAACAAAGTACGTTAAGACGTAAAATAGTTAAAAATGAATTGATACAATAAACTGATTATTTAACTTTGTATAAATTATTATTGAATTTTGTATGACTTACAAAAACTAGGGAAACAGTCGTGTGTAAGCGACGATGAAACTGTAATAAAGTCCGCGACCACACAAGTA